AAATTATAAGTGCCTTGAGGGAAATCCTGCTCTATTAGATCTGTTAGTATTCTAAGCATAACAAGTATGAAAAATACAGCCAGCACATCTCCTTTAAATTTTGAATATATATATATATATATATATATATATAAAGACAATACAAAATAACACTGAAACTACAGTCAAAAATATTCAGTTAACCAATACGTTGATGTGTTAATTTAAAAATCTATTGGAACTGACCACCATTGGGGATTATAAATTGTCTGAGGTGTACAGAGGGAATTAATTCCAGACGTATTCCTAGGTCAGACAGTATTTAAATTGCTTAAGTAGGAAAAAGCCACTGTTATTTCATGTGTCTGCTTTTCTGTGCTAACAAAAGACTCTAAGATCTCAGGGCTTAACAATATGCTTTATTTCTTATCTAGGGTATGTGTTTACACCTGCAGATCAGCCGTGACTCAGCTCCACACATCTTCTTCATGATGCCGTGGGTAAAGATGTCCCTACTACAGTCATTTGAGCTTCATGGCTTCCCTTGTGGCTCAGCGGGTAAAGACTCTACCTGCAATGTGGGAGACCTGCGTTCAATCCCTGGGTTGGGAAGATCCCCTACAGGAGGGAAAAACTATCTGCTCCAGTATTCTGGCCTGGAGAATTCCATAGACTGTATGGTCCATGGGGTTGCAAAGGGTCAGACAGGACTGAACAACTTTCACTTTCACTTAGCTTCACGGCAGGAGAAAAGCCCAAGAGAAGTAACATGTGATTCTTCTTGAAGCTTGATTTCAGTACAGTGTATATTACATTTTCCTATATTCCCATAGCCAGAGAAAGTCACATCATCAGTTGGGTTTAGTTGCTTAAACCTTCTATTGGAAGCACCACACTTCACATGGCAATGAGCAGTGGCGTATAACCTCTTAAAGGGAGGCGAGATAAATACCTGTGAAAAACTATACATAGGCATTGAGAAATACAGTAAGAAATTCATAGAGGGGGTAAGGGAAAAAAAAAAGATCCTTAATATTTGGTATTTCTGGCTTTATAAGCCAGCAAGGATATCTTTTAACTAATTGTTAATGTGCTGAAAAAGAAAAAAATGCAAAGGAAAATCTGCAAAGAGTCAATATTGGAACAAAGAGAAGACCTTCTTCCAGAACCAGGACTTGGCAAAAAAATCAGTGAATGTGAACAAACTGTTGATGGAGTATTTGGTTGGAACTTTAATATACTTTGAGGTGAAAAGAGTTGGAAGAGGTCCACAATGAATTTTATCAAGGATAAAATAATTTTACCAAGGATAAAAATTAGTAGCAAATAAGAGAGAGGCATGTATTATAAATTGGAGAGAAAAAGTATATAATTCATCAAATACTGTAATTGAACAAAAATAAGATAATGTGGATAAAGTTAGTGTCTTTATTTTATTACCAATTTATTCAACTTCAAAGTTTTCACTGAAACAACTTCAAGGGATAAGGGATTTTATAAGAGATAAATAATAAAGGATAGTTTTAGAGAGGGCTCAAACTTTAAAAGGAGCTGGTAAGCAGGAGTCAGTAAGACTAGAGAAGAATGATTTTTCTGACTCTATATAAAGGCAAAATGTGAGAGAAAAGCACAGTCATCTGGTGGTATTAGTCAATGCATTCCCTTGACAGGGTCCAGTTGAGTCATCCAGAAAGTAAATAAATCAATGGTTGGTTTTGTGAACACTTATTTTGGAGAACAGTAGTTCCGAGAATTCCAAGATATGGGAGCTTGTAACCATAACAGGGAAAAATGACTAATAAGAAGACCTGGAGATAAAGTGATATTCAAGCAAAGGTCAGATTAGTATGTGAGAAGAAAAGTAGGATGTGTAAGGAGGGTGATTAATTTGGAGAAGGTCAGTGTGATGCATCCACAAAAGGACATTACATCCATGATTGATGTGAATTGCACAAAAGAACACGTGTATTCTTTTGTGTCCAGTATTTATCTCTTTATGAGCCTGGAAATAATAAGTATAGATAAAGAAATAAACATTCCAGTTTGAATATAGATCACGATGGATTGGATGATTCAAACTTTGTTAATTGGACCCGCTTATACCCAAATAATCCTTCCTTTAAAATAAATATCATCACATTCAAACTACCACAGATAATCTAATGTGGAAATAGAACATTCATAAATGTATTAAAAGAAATTACAATAGCAGAATGGATAATAAAAGCTTAATATGCTATATCTTCCAGATGACATTTCCTTTTTATCATAAGTCTCAAAATAGTGTTTTAGTATAAAAACATATGCATACTATTACACATTTGCTCAGCTTCTCAGTCACGTCCAACTCTTTGCAGCCCCATGGACTGTACGTAGCCTGCCAGGCTCCTCTGTCCACAGAATTTTCCAGGCAAGAATACTGCTTTGGGTTTCCATTTCCTACTCTAGAATTTTATATAAACATACATATATAACATGGGCTTCCCGGGTGGGTCATCGGTAAAAAAAAATTCACCTGCCAACACAGAAGCCGCAGGAGATGTAGGTTAAATCCTTGGGTCTGGAAGATCCCCTGGAAGAGGAAAGGGCAACCCACTCCAGTATTTTTGCTGGGATAACCCCATGGACAGAGGGGTCAGGTGGGCTACAGTCCATGGTGTCACAAAGAGTCAGGCACGACTAAGCATCAGCACACACACACACACACATATATAACATACAATCATAGTCTGTATTTGTATAGTGCTTCCTATAAACTTAGTCCTTTAAAAAAACTTTACATGTATTAACTAATGCTATAACCCCCATTTTCATAAGAATATACTGAGCACAAGGTCTTGCCCATGACAAAAAATACAAAATTTCCTACCTTAAATTCTTTCAGAAACAAAGCATGGTAGACAGTTAAGTCAACTAATTGAGAAACTAAATAGCCACTTAAGTTACCTTTGCTGATTGAATAAAGAGAAAAAGGTGTTAGAAATGCTCATAAATAAAAATAAAAATATAGATATGTATTAATATATATATGCAGACATGTACACATCTTCATATTTAAGCATATTATTCTTCATCTTCACCAAAATCTTCCTCTTGGGTTGAAGGTCAAAACCTCCACTGACTATAATAGTCTCAATAAATAACAGATCTAACACACCAAAAAAAAAAAAAATAGGCTCTGAAAATCTTCTCTTGAAAGGCCTGGCACTTTGGCCTCACCATAGAGCATGTGCAGTTTCTATCTCCTTCTCTAGTTTCTACCTGGTCTATTCCATTATTTTATCCATGAAATTGAAAGTGAAAACGCCAGTCACTCAGCTGTGTTTGACTCTTTGTGACTGCATGGACTTCAGCCTGCCAGGCTCCTCTGTCCATGGGATTCTCCAGGCAAGAATACTGGAGTGGGTAGCCATTCCCTTCTCCAGGAGATCTTTCCAACTCAGGGAGGGAGCCTAGGTCTCCTAAATATCAATTAATTATAGACTTACAGAAAATGGGGAAAAAATCAGTGATTTAATATTCTTTTTATCTTTCAGCATTAAATCTGTGGTTTAACTACTTTACTTCAGGAAAGGAAAAACCAAATAACTCTATCTGATCTATTCCTGGTGTTGTTTCCCACTCTCTTAAAAACAAAAAGTGGAGGGATAGCTCATGGTGGAAGGGGCATAGGATAGGGAAGAAGACACTGATTAATTTTTCAGTCTCCCAGTCCCAAGTGATAGAAAACTCATGGCTAACTCTTTAAATTCATATTTTGTCCATCCCAAAAGGAACAAGTTACATTTTGGTTATAGATTATGTGATTATGGTTGTTTCTAACTCAGTTTAGAAGACCTGAATTTGTTCAGAAGAACAAATCCAAGTACATTTGTGTTGTGTTACTAATAGGATTTCCATATGGCTAAAGCACAGGTTACCCAGACTGAATGCTTAGGGAAGGTAGCTGATGATCATAAACAGCTTCCTATGCCGTGAAAAGTGCTTCTGATTTGTCTTGAAAGTAATGGGAAATACTGATAATTTTAAGTATTAGAAGGTAGGTTAGATAGAAAAGTTGAAGTTGTAAAATTAAGAGTAGAGAAAACAACTTGCGGTCACTCAAGGGGAAGAAAAAAACAACAATTGGAAAGGGCAGCAATCTTACGGAAAGCATGATAGGAAAAGTAGAGTATATTTGATAGATATTAAAGAAATACAGTGTGCACCTTGGTGACCCATTAGATTATCAAAGTGGAAATAATTAAGATAGCATTAACATATTACTGGCCTCACAGAATAGTATGTTAATGCAAGCAGGCAGTATAGTAAAAGAAGCCAAATTTGGAGGAAGAGATGTCATCCTGATGTCAAAAATTTAGTTATTAATGTCCATTAAGGTTTCAAAGGGTAACAATGCATTTAATTATTACATTAGGGAAAACCATAAATATTGCTAATTAGATTAGTTTAAGCAAGTAACCCCTGTAATTTAGAAGCAAAATCTAGTATTGTACTTCACTATATTTCATTTGACATTCTTTCAACAACTATAAAATCAGCAAAAGGCAACTACTCCCTTATAGACTCTTTGTAAAAGAGGATAACAATATTAAATAAGTCACAGATTTTGCCCTTGAGGGGTTTTTCAAGTGGCGCCAGTGGTAAAGAACCTGCCTGCTAATGAAGGAGACATGAGAGATGAGGGTTCAATCCCTGGGTTGGGAAGATCCCTTACAGGAGGGCATGACAGCCCACAATCTATTCCAGTATTCTTGTCTAGAGAATCTCATGGTTAGAGATGACTGGCCGGCTACAGTCCATAGGGTTGCAAACAGTCAGACGCAACTGAAGCAATTTAACTTGCATGCTTGTCCTTGAGGCTGTAGTGCAGCAACAAATGCTATATTATAGGTGAGGCGACTTCCTGCAGGGATAGCAGAGGCTTATTAGCCTTAAGTGCTGAGTTTCCATGGTTCCCCTTTTAATAAACATATCGCTAAATGCAGCAACAAAATACATACAAATTATTCTTTGCTTACCATTAACAATAACAATGATATCACGGAAGTCAATTTCTCCCCTAGCCTCCACTCTTCCTTCACACCTGTATATACCTTCATCACTTTTATTGATGTTGAGAATCTGCAGATTATTGTTGGCTAACATAGCGAACCGACCTGGAAAGTAAGCAAAGAGGAGGAAATGATATCAGTAATTGAAGGCAGAGTATAGCATGTTCTAAATTGCTAAGGATTAAAATATGGCACTTGTCTGGCACTATCCAACTTTTCATCAACAAACAAATTCCAATTTGAAAGTAAAATGTAATTTCATGACTTCGATTTTTCCACTCCACAACTGCCTTGTTATACCTTTTTGTGAAAATACATTCAAGAGTTTATTTCCACATAAAATGGTTAAGCTATTATTTTCCCCTTGGTATTCTGAATGCAGAAAAGATACAGAAAAGAACAAAGCTGAGGGATTAGATATTACAGACAAGAAGAGATTTTGACTGCAAATATGTAGCAACTTGGGGATGGAAGTGGGTTAGAGAATTGAGTGAATACCCTTCCTCACACAATAATTAAACCAATAATGGCACATATCCTGAGGAGGTAGCTAAATATATAACAATATTCAAGTCATGTAGAGGATATATAAAATGATCATATCTCAGATTTATTTAAAAGATTTTTTCTAAATGCAAGATAATCCATTTTAGGAAGGAATAGATTAGACTTCATTACTTTTATTTCAAGATCCCATTTTATGTGTGAGTGTATGCACATTCATACATACAAAAATAGCTGTTAAAGGGCATGCATTAGGTGACTGCTTGAAATAATCTGACTAGCCTAAGCAACATCAGCCTGATAGTATTTTCCATAATGCCTGGTCTTAAGTTTTTACTCATCATAATTTTGTTTCAGTCTTAAGAACTTTTCCCTTGTTATCAAGAACATTATTATATCCTGTTCTATTTTGAAACATGTTATTAAGGCAATACCCTAAATTTCATTAATTCATTCATCCATAGATAACATTAGACATGATGTCTGCTAAGTACTGTATTTGAGCACATAGGTGGATAACAGAAACATATCCTTGACCTCCTTGGACCTTTTGGTAAGGTAGAAATATCTTTAATTTAAGATACCCACCTATGGATATCTGTCAAAGAGCACTTCTGGGGGCTCTTCCAGTATTTATTACTCTTCCCCTATCTGCTGGCTTAATAGAAATGTTAGGACAAACAAAGAGGTCACATGAGAAAGCAGTCTCCCAGCGTCCCTCAACCTGGATCATTGAATGAATGCAATGGGTACAATTCTTGCCTCTCATCCTACAACCCATTGGACATCACATGAGTGAGAAACTGCTGTGATATGAAGCCATTCATATTTGGGGTTCATTTTTCATAGCAATTCCTTAAGTCATAGTAGAAGTTTGGGCTTTAAATACAAATAAGGAAATTATTAGACTATATTAAAACAGGTAAGAATGTGGTTATTGATTGTCTAAGAGACAGGTAATAAGAAATGAAAATTTGGAGATTCTGAAGCTGCCTCAAACAGAAAACACCAATTATCAAGCTACATATACATAATTTTCAGTTCAGAAGATTTAAACTTTCCCAAAATATCTATTTCATCTTTCAGTTGACCTTAAGATGACATACAAAAATGTTTATACAGATGCTTTTTCCTGGGAAATTTTCTCACCAAAGAAGAGATTGGAGAAAAAAAAGGCAATCGGCAGAAAATATGACTTATAGTAATGACTGGAGGAACTAAGAACCCCTAAAACTTCATGACATCTTAAAGTAAATTAAAAAAAAATATTCTATTCAAGTGTGTTGCTGGAAATTAGAATGAGAACTATACAAAGTAGATGTTATGACCCAGACAACCACAATGATGTGCTCACTCACCTCGAGCCAGACATCCTGGAATGTGAAGTCAAGTGGGCCTTAGGAAGCATCACTATGAAAAAGCTAGTGAAGGTGAAGGAATTCCAGCTGAGCTATTTCAAATCCTCAAAGATGATGCTGTGAAAGTGCTGCACTTAATATGCCAGTAAATCTGGAAAACTCAGCAGTGGCCACAGGACTGGAAAAGGTCAGTTTTCATTCCAATCTCATAGAAAGGCAATGGCAAAGAATGCTCAAACTACTACACAATTGTACTCATCTCACATACTAGTAAAGTAATGGTCAAAATTCTCCAAGCCAGGCTTCAACAGTACATGAACGCTGAACTTCCAGATGTTCAAGCTGGATTTAGAAATAGCAGAGGAACCAGAGATCAAATTGCCAGCATCTGTTTGATCATGGGAAAAGCAAGAGAATTTCAGAAAAACATCTACTTCTGCTTCACTGACTACGCTAAAGCCTTTGAGTGTGTGGATCACAATAAACTATGGAAAATTCTTCAAGAAATGGGAATACCAGACCACCTTACCTGGCTCCATAGAAATCTGTATGCAGGTCAAGAAGCAACAGTTAGAACTAGACATGGAACAGTGGACTGATTCCAAACTGGGAAAGGAGTACAACAACGCTGCATATTGTCACTGTGCTTATTTAACTTACATGCAGAGTATATCAAGCGAAATGCTGAGCTGGATGAAGCACAGGCTAGAATCAAGATTGTGGGAGAAATATTAATAACCTCAGATATGCAGAATGACACCACCCTTATGGCAGAAAGTAATGAAGAACTAAAGAACCTCTTGATGAAAGTAAAAGAGGAGAGTGAAAAAGCTGGTTTACAACTCAACATTCAAAAAACTAAGATCATGGCATCCAGTTCCATCACTTCACACCAAACAGATGGGGAAACAATGGAAACAGTGACAGACTTTATTTCCTTGGGCTCCAAAATCACTGCAGATGGTGACTGCAGCCATGAAATTAAAAGACGTTTGTTCCTTGGAAGAAAAGCTATGACCAACCTAGACAGCATATTAACAAGCAGAGACATTACTTTGCCAACAAAGGTCCATCTAGTCAAAGCTATGGTTTCTCCAGTAGTCATGTATGGATGTGAGAGTTGAACCATAAAGAAAGCTGAGTGCCATAGAATTGATGCTTTTGAACTGTAGAGTTGGAGAAGACTCTTTGAGAGTCCCTTGGACTGCAATAAGATCAAACTGGTCAATCCTAAAGGAAATCAGTCCTGACTATTCATTGGAAGGACTGATGATGAAGCTAAAGCCCCAATACTTTGACCACCTGATGCAAAGAGCCTACTCATTAGAAAAGACCCTGATGCTGGGAAAGATTGAAGGCAGGAGGAGAAGGGGATGACAGAGGATGAGATGGTTGGATGACACTACCGACTCGATGGACGTGAGTCTGAGTAAGCTCTGGAATTTGGTGATGGACAGGGAAGCCTGGCATGCTGCAGTCCATGTGGTCATAAAGAGTCAGACACGACTGAGTGACTGAACTGAACTGAACAAAAGATGTTTGAAGAAAGCACTACTTGAGTCATTCATGCATAACTGGATATTGGGAGTATTTAACTATTAAAGATGATCTATTTATTTTATTTATAGCCATCCAAACATTCATTATTGCAGAAAGGAAATAAAGGGAATCATAATACTCAATAAGGTGTCCACTTTATGTTTCTTTAAGCAGGCTATTTTATAAGTCCCCTTTTCTTCTCATTCTATATTAACTGAATGGTTTGCCACATCTACTCTTATGCCTGCAATCAATATTTTGATGATTCACAATTTTTCTTCAGACCAGAGGATTCTTGTGATTCCAGAATTATTTGAGTCATCTAGATATATACACTTAGAAGAGCTGTAAATAATTCAATTTCAGTATGTGTAAAATTTGGGTATCTCCACCTAAAATTACTCCCATCTCTGTCTTTAGAGGTCTTTACATTGAGCTAGATGCCCAAGGCAAATTCTTTAAATCTTCTTTGATTTCTCCAGGACCCTCAATCTGCATATCCAATTAAACCCATATCCTATCATTTCTCCCTTTATCACTTCTTAGTCTAAAGTTTCCTTTTCCCTCAGCAACTATTTCATTCAGATTTAAACATTTCTCATTGCCTGAAGTTCTGCCTTGAGTCTCACCCAATTCATTTTCCTCACTGAAGCACTAATGTCCTTCTCAATACATATTAGCTCATGTCACTGTCTTAATTAAAACCCTCTAGTGATGTCACCTTTGGATAAATTCTAAAAGCCTCAATAGAGATGTGAAGGCCATGTTGAAATGGCTCAACCTTCTCTTGCAGATTCCTTTTCTTTTAGTCTTTATTTACAAATCCTAGTTGCACTTATCTGTTATTATAAGTATTCTAGTTGTGCTTATTTGTAAAGTTTAGTTATAATGAACTTAATTCAGTTCTGGAACATGCCACTCATGCTTTCACCTCTGAGCCACTGCATATGGTATTCTCTCCATTTGAAAAGTCCCCACCAGTGTTTAGCTGGTTAATTCCTTTTCATCTTTAAAGGTTGCTTTTCACTGTCAGCAGGCATTTTGGATACTTTCCTCTGCCCTAACTGATTCAAGTGCTCTTTCTTGATCATCCTCTATCACTGTACTTTCCTTATCATATACCTCAACAATCATGTTGTCACAATTTATCCACTGATACTTTTACTAGAGTATTAACATATTAAGGGCGATAGACTAGTTCATCTTTTTAACTATGAATCACCATCACTTAGCACAATAGATGAAACATAATAGGTGCAAAATAACTGTTGAATGACTTTTTATTAATATATTTGGAGTAGATTTCATGTTTTTTTTTTTCTGAGCAAGGTGATTTTATCCATAGCTTTTGATGCAAAGATGGTACTTCTTTAGAAAATGTTCAAAGCATTTAGGAAGTTTCAGAGATACCTTTCAGAATGGCTAAGATTGAATGGGCAACTCTGATAGCATACCTTCCATCAGGGTTGACACTAAAAGTCAAGATATTCAACTTTCTAACAAAATGTCACACTATCGCTTTACTACCTAAATGCTTGGATTCTCTAACATATGGATTTCTTTTAATAAACAACATGGAACACCTTCACTTCAAGTAGTCTATGGGAGTATTACTTCTGCATATTTGTCAAACAGTTGCTATCAAAAGCATGGTTAATAGATCAACATTTCCAAACCTTCATATGGAGCCTTTAAACTTTATTCCTGTGCCATGTTAAAGCTTCAGAAAGTTATCTGGACACATTGCATTATTCTAAATCCCCATATATGTTCCACTTATGATTATAAACCTAAATTTATTTCATTACTTTTAATAAAAGAATCATACACATATAAAAATCTGAAGAATATTACTTCTTATAAATTCACTATAAATGTAAAAATCATTCAATAATGAAATATGTGGCAAGTTTCTTAAATATTAAAAGATTAGAAAAGTTTGTCCATCTTCACAATTCCCCTACATCCTTTATATCCCAAAGTAAAAACCAATTTTACAACTTAAAAAAAAAATTGTACATTGCTTTCCATGAAACTCAGTGTTAAGTTTCTATATTTAACTCATTCCTAAGAAATAACAACTCAATGAGAAGAAACAAGAAATGTAGACATTATTTACTGAGTATCTGATACAAAGTTAAGTATTTCTTCATTCACTTAACAAATATTTACATGTCTGTTTTATTTAAAATTATAAACATTGTTCAAAATGCATATAATAGGGGAGATATATATATATATATATATATCAAGATATATATATATATGCATGTATATACTCATGGACCATAGGGAAGGTTAGGCACCAAATAATTGATGCTTTCTAAGTGTGGTGTTGGAGAAGACTCTTGAGAGTCCCCTGGCCAGCAAGGAGATCCAACCAGTCAATCCTACAAGAAATCAACCCTGAGTATTCATTAGAAGGACTGACGCTAAAGCAGAAGCTCCAATACTTTGGCCACCTGATGCAGAGACCCAACTCATTGGAAAAGACCCTGATGCTGGGAAAGACTGAAGGCAGAAGGAGAAGGGGACAACAGAGGATGAGATGGTTGCATGGCATTACTGACTCAGTGGACATGAGTTTCTGCAAAACTCTGGAAGAGAGTGAAGGACAGGGAAGTTTGGCATGTTGCAGTCCATGATGTTAAAAAGAATCAGACACGACTTAATAACTGAATAACAATGGTGGCTGATTTACATTGTATGTAAGGCAGAAACCAACATAATGTAATTACCCTCCAATTAAAAACTATTTCAAAAATTTTAAAAAAAGGATATGATAATTCATTATTTAAGATTAAGAATATGAATTAGGTACAGAGCACTTAGAAAAGCCATTCAAAGCTTTCAGTTCAGTCAGTTCAGTTACTCAATCCTGTCCGACTCTTTGCGACCCCAGGGACTGTAGCACACCAGGCCTCCCTGTCCATCACCAAGAGCCTATTCAAACTCATGTCCATCACGTAGGTGATGCCATCCAACCATCTAATCCTCTATTGTTCTCTTCTCCTACCGCCTTCAATCTTTCCCAGCATCAGGGTCTTTTCTAATGAGTTGGTTCTTTGCATCAGGTGGCCAAAGTATTGGAATTTCAGCTTCAGCATCAGTCCTTCCAATGAATATTCAAGACTGGTTTCCTTTAGGACTGACTGGTTGTATCTCCTTGCAGTCCAATGGACTCTCAAGAGTCTTCTCCAACACCACAGTTCAAAACCTAAGGAAAGTGTAGAGCCATGATGGAATTCCAGCCTCACATCATTTCATCATGGAGTACTGGGAAAATGTATAAGCATAGCATAGAAGCATCAGCCCTCCATCACTAGTATACCTGACCATCAATCTTTGCTTTGAGGCTTTTCTTTTATGTGTATTAAAAAAAAAAACTCATTTTCAAAACCTTTTATAATTAAAATGTACCATATAAAAATATGTACACTTGAAGCCTAAGATTAAGTAATCTGAAAATGTTTAGATATTGTCATTTAACTGCTATAAAAGTATTGCTTTCTTTATTATTGAGGGAAAAATGCAGAAAATATACAGTTTACTCATGCAATTTCATTAGTAAAATCTAAAACAGTTATCTGATAATAAAGATATGTCTCACTGACTTATGACAATAGAAAAAACAGTTTTAGTCAGTAACTAACAAGCAGTGAAAATGCCACATCCAGGAAAATTTTCTAAAATTAAAAAATAAAATTGACTATAGTGATCATGAAATATTCTCTGTACATATTCAAAAACAGATGCTTTCTCTCCTTTATGCTGTAGAAGTTTCATTTCTTAGAAACGTAAAACAAAATTATCCAAGATAGAAAGTACTGAATATTTTAAAAGATTCAATTATTTTGTACCTCTGCAATGCAGGTGCAATGAAAAATATTCTCAATTGAAAATACTCACAATTCACAATGGTAAAATAGCATAATGTAAGCAAATTATGTATTCAATTTCAGACGTCATACTATTCTGGAGTTTTAGCTCGGTCTGAATCAAAATCATGAAGAAAATTGGAATGAATGTACTTTTCTTACAATTATCCACATGCATCTTACTATAATATTTAAAATATGTAGGTATCTTTGAAAGAACAGTGCCAGAAAAACTAATAGGGCCCATTTAGATATATTTTCAGCTTACATATAATAAGCCTGTGGGATCAAGTCTGAATTATAAAATGTAGAATTTCAGTAGATCAGGATAGATTCCTTTATTTATTCAGTATCCTTGAACTTGGCCTTTCCTGGTGGCTCATATGGTAAAGAATCTGCCTGCAATGTAGGAGACCCCTGTTCAATCGAGGAAGATCCTCACCCAGGGAATGGCAACCCACTATCTAGTATTCTTGCCTGGAGAATTCCATGGATGGAGAAGCCTAGCAGGCTACAGTCCATGGGTCACAAAGAGCTGGACACAACTGAGTGACTATCACTTTCACATTCTTGAACTGTTTGTATGTAAATTTTTCTTGACTAGAGCAGGGGTCAGGGAACTTTTTCTGTCATCTCCAGAAAGTAACTATTGTAGGCCAAACCATCTGTGTCACAGTTGCTCAACTTTGTTCCAAGGTAACCATAGACCATATGTAATGACTGGGTTTGGCTGCATCTCCATTACACCTTAATAAAACAGCACAGAGGCTGAATTGAGCCTAGGGCCATAGTTTGCCAACCCCTAGTTTAGAGCTCTGATGTTCTCTAAACAGTTGTTTGATACTTGGGATCAGTCCAATTGCTATATTTACTCAGGCAGATTCAGTCTTCTTAAAGAAAATTGCAATATTGTTAGAACATATAACTTAGGGAGTTACCAAAATACTAACTGTCGGATATAGCGGTGACTTCCTCATTATGATACAACCAGCTGACGACAGGTGCGGGTGAGCTGCTGACTCGGCAAACCACTTCTGCATTCTCCCCTTGTTTGAACTCTTGAGGAGATACCACTTCTCGGAAAGTGAGTTTTTCTGCATAAGAAAGTAAAACAAACCAAAGAAGTATTATTGCTCATTCCCCTCAATAACATATTTCAGAACTCTTGTTTATGGGTGCTGTAATAAAATAATTAGGTAAATCTAGATCATTTAAAACTTTACCATACCATCTAATTCTCCTACCTGATAAATCCCCGCCTCACTGAGAATAAAATCCAAAGTCTTTACAGTGCTACAGGAGGTCCTATATGAACTGGAGTCTATCTCACAATTTTTGATCCCGATTTTTCTTCTCTCCTCCTAATCTCGACTCCAAGCAGTTCCTCTAACACTCCAGATTTGTTCTCATTCTGGGGCATTTGCACTCTCTTAAATGTCATCACGTTTTTGCCCAGTCTCCACATGCAAAAGAGTCATCACCCTCTAATTCTCAATTACTTAATTTCTTCCCTATAGGATTCTATAGCATATATATCTAGCATTTATACATTAGTCTTAGCTTACTTTTTGTCTTCTGTTTCTACCTACTAAAATTTAGCACCAAGCAGTCAGTGACATTTTCTGTTTTAGTCACTAATGAGTCTTTAGGAATTAGAATATTGTCTGCCGTATAGCTGACATCCATAAGTGTATCAAATGAATGCACGTATGTGGATATTTATGCTTAATGAGAAATTTTCCCCAAAGTAATTCATTGTTCTTGCTAACAAAAAAAAAATTACCTTTACAAATAAAACACCAGGAATTCTCTTTTGCATCATTTCAAATGACACTTCTTTCCAGATACTAGTCTATGAAATGATGTTTTCAATTTAGTTTTTTGTAATTTATGAAATTAGTACAGCAAATGGGCATATCAAGAAGTAAAACATCCTTCTTTGAGGAGTTTAGAAACTAAGAGGAGGGAAAAAAGGTCAAATCAGGACAAATGAGGACAACAACAGATTGTCGTTCCAACGACAATGTTCCAACAGACTGTCGTCATCTTAAGAGGAAGTATTGCTATGACACTCTTTTGACCCTTTTTTCAACACAGCTGTAAGGAAGACATGCCTTATGAGCATTCTAAAACTTTTATAATTTTTCACTGGTATAAATGCTAACTACCACAAATTAATTGCAAGGTAATATTTTAGGCACATTGTGCATGAATTAATGTAGTCTTCAAAGCAACTCTACAAATGATGTAAGTACTACTAATTTTACCCATTTTATAAATGGAAATTGAAAACAGAGAGGGTACCCAGTTGCTCAGAACCACAGAAGTAAGTGATGGAACCTGGTTTCAAAACCAGGGAAACAATGATCTTCAGTTTTCCTAAACAGGTTAAGGATTCCTAAAAGTAGGAATGAGGAATTAATCAATTTCAAGTCATAAAATGAAGTGTAAGTGTAGAGAACCTTGTTAATGAAAACACCTGGAGCTAAGAATCTGGTTAGAAATAATTCTTCTTTATATGAGTTTTCAACTTTTTCTCTCTCAAAAGTCTGTCAACTGATCCTTCCCCAATTGTCACTCTAGACTGGTCACTGCTGTCACACAGGTAATTTTCTCTAGTCATGGGCTTTTAAAGTGAAAAACAGCATTCCCAATAAGTTCTGTAACACTAAATATACTGTTATCTATTACCCAACAGATTCTTAATGGCATCAGAAAACTAAAACATTCTCATCTATATTATTTACCCAATAGAACTGGCTTCATCTATATATTTATAACCCACTGTAGCCTATTATCTATCTTATTTTAGAGATGTACTATGGTAAAATATAAATAAGCTGATATCTGTAAAAGTCTTATTATTACATTGTCCAGCACAAAGTTAGGAGAAGGCAATGGCACCTCACTCCAGTACTCTTCCCTGGAAAATCCCATGGACAGAGGAGCCTGGTGGGCTGCAGTCCATGGGGTCGCTAAGAATCAGACACGACTGAGCGACTTCACTTTCACTTCTCACTTTCATGCATTGGAGAAGGAAATGGCAACCCACTCCAGTGTTCTTGCCTGGAGAATCCCAGGGATGGCAGAGCCTGGTGGGCTTCCGTCTATGGGGTCGCATGGAGTCGGACATGACTGGAGTGACTTAGCAGCAGGAGCAGCACAAAGTTAGTTCTCAGTGAGTACTAGCTTCTATTGTTAAGTGCATTTGAATTTGAATTTTTTATAAGAATGTATAATTTCAATCAATAAAACATAAATACATGACTTACGGTAAATTTCCAAAACGACTGTAGCTTCTTGTGTCTGTCCTTTGGCATCTGTTGCTTGGCAACGATATATCCCTGCATCTTCTATATTTGCATTGTAGATGGTTAATCTTGATCTAATACCTTCCTTCTGCACTGATACCCTCTGTGTTGAAATTATCTTCTCCCCTTGAGGATTATACCAATCTATACTCTCAGGTTCACCAATTGCTGCAGAGAGCCATAGAAAAGAAATGTTTGAAAATATGTTTCAAGTGTTTGTTTTGATATTGGCATTTACTATTATGTAACAAGCTTAACAATCTAGAAAAAAATGTAAACAGAAGACTGAAAATCTGAAAATCTTACAAAATTGAAAGTAAACACAAATGCTAGCACACATGTTCATCCTTATTTATCCAACACTGAGGATTAAATCTAGTCTGAGTAAGCAAAATCCATAGGAAATGGGTTTTCCAGTACGGTATTTAAGCTATGATAGAGTAAACTTGGGGGCTTCCCAGACGGCTCAGTGCTAAAGAATCCACCTGCAATGCAGGAGTCAAGGCTTCAATCTCTGGGTCAGGAAGATCCCCTGGAGGAGGGCATGGAAACCCACTCCAGGATTCTTGCCTGGAGAATCCCATGGACAGAGAAGCCTGGCAGGCTACAGTCCATAGGGTTGCAAACAGGCGGACACTACTGAAGCGACTTAGCACGTACGTAGTGTAAACTTTACCACAGTGATCTATGGGTTATTATTATTATACCTAAGGACCGAAACTGGTTTGGCAACTGAGTCCAAAATGCATTCCACTTGATAGACATGTGTGTGCCTATTTGCATCCGACTGTTTAAGACCCCATGGACTGCAGCCCACCAGGCTCCTCTGTCTATGGTATTTCCCAGGCAAGAATAATGGAGTGGGTTGCCATTTCCTTCTCCAGGGGCCCTTCCCAACCCAGTAACTAACCCGCATCTCCTGTGTCTCCTGCATTGGCAGGCGGATTGTTTACCCACTGAGCCGTCTCCAGCAGACATAATCTAAATTGAAACACGATTATGCACATACTTTCATCTGCTCAATTCTTTCTGATAGAGTCAGGAAATAGCACTTTCCCCACCATACAGCAGAGCTCATAAAAATGTAAATCTTCTATAAAATAAACTTTGGCTTTTGTTAACAGAATTTTGAATTAATCTCTCAAGTTGTTAAACTTGTATAGATGAGGCCAATGACTATTTTTCAAATGAATCCCTAATCTTCTCTTTTCCCAGCTGAAATGAGTAGTTTCATCAGTTGATTCTAAAACTGTTAACTATTTAATCATATGATAATTAGAATGTATTGAAATGATGCTTATGGTGGTAGGCAATTACAGCCAAATCATTACAGGGTAAACATTTATTTAAGTTTTCCAATTCAGAATCTAGGTTATTATCCTCTTCATAAAAGCTGAAGCTTCCCATGTTTACTTTTAGCCACCAAAAGGATGTATTTCACCTAATTGCTTGTGAGATAATTTGTGGAAGCAGCATGCACTATTAACTCAAAAATATTGGGGAAAAATGCATAAAGTTAACTAACATCTTTTGGGAACTTTTTGAATAAAATTGTTCCCTCTCATTCTCTTTTTCCCCAACAAATGGCTTTAGAAACAAATTATCTTCCTTCCTATATCTAAAATTAGACATGATGAAGAAAAAAGTATGAAAGAATTTTAGTTAACTCGTGAATGATCTTAGTTATGTTATATTCAGTTTTTCTAAACAGAACCATAAAACCGTAGTAGTTACAGGGTAACTCATTTGGGTTTGTTTTAATTCCCTCTTCTTCCATCATGAGGTTACAGAGGAATCATTTAAATGTGCATTACTTTAAATTTGAGAAATAGAAAATCCTCATTTTATACAGTAAATTATATAGGATATCTCTGTGAAATATTTTGGACATTTTCATTCTTAATGATATGGAAAAATTCATTATCGTGGAGAGTTTATTCTGGATTTTCATAGCACAATCATAATTCTTTCTTTTTAGGGCAAATCCGATAAATAGTAATTTCCAATTAAAATGTCCATGTTATATTGCTGGTAATACTGGGCTAATGGGAAAATTAACAAGTAGAACTAAATGCATTTTCCTGAAAAGGTAATATAAAAATTCATACATGTGACACATGTGTGCTTATTTCTGTGCAGATATGAATGAGCTCAGCAGAGTCTTGGAACCTGGGACCCTTTCACTGAAATGCTTGCACCTGAAAAAACATCTCCTGGAACAACAGAATGCACAGAAACTATAAGGGACTAAAAATAACTACAAGCATGTGCAGTTGCAGCAAACTGTGAACAACAAGATGCACAAAGGCCAAAATCCAACTGTACTTTTGAGGGAGCAAAAGCAGGGTCCTACACCAGACCCCTGCATAGCGTACCACCTAGGCTACCTCTCCACAGCGACCCAGTGATTCACACCTACCCTCAAACCTTTTAAAGGACCAGCTCACCCCACCTCAGACAGCAAGCAAGGAAACCTGTCACTCGTTTTCATATGCTAGTGAATAGCAGAACTCAGGATAAAGCCCTGTCTGAATTTCTCATCTAGCCTCTAAGCAATTTCTACTGATTAAAGAGTCAAAAAACCCAGTTCCATAACATGACCACCTTCTAGTTCAATCTGAAGACATATTTATTTTATTGAGTTTTAGATGTCTCAGTTCAGGAAATTTTAGAATCATATCAACATATCACCACTGTGATAGAAAAATACATACAAGTGTTCTGATTTGTATAGGTTTCCCACATATTCATTTTTAGATTTTTGCTTTACTACTGTATTTAAGATAAATAAGACTTCTTCCAGGACAACAGTACAGCTCTTGTTAATTGTCTTTATATAAAAGGGAAAAAAATGCTTTATTATTTTGCCTATTACTAAGAGCCAAACATGTTAATTCATACTCTTAAATTATGTCTTAATTTAATTTATGAATTATCTACAGAGGTAATACATCATATGATTTATATTATAAAGATAATGCAAATCCAAGAATATAATACAATTTGATTTTATTTTCAAATTTATTTTTTTAAACAATTTCATTTTTCTGTGATTTTGTGATACAGTTGAGCTGGTTGTGTGCACACATGCACACACATGCACACATATGCATTTGTGCATATAAAGTATGGATAAAGGTTAGAAACAAAGAGTTATATTTTTATGCCAAAGCTGTGCTGACATTAAAAAAAAGTACTGAACTAATCTCTCCCCTGTTCTCTGTCTTCCCATTTGCAAATGTACAACAGCATGCATCAACAGACCTATCAATTCAGACCTTTAAGAAGGCAAATATAAGAAGAATCATGGCCTTTATTTTAGAGGTTCATATGATTTGATATGATTTTTAGATACATTGTTATACTTTCTTCTCTTTTTATTAGTTGCAATAATGATTTACATAAGTCATGCTATTCTCAAGACAACTTTTATAATGCATTTTGTCAGAAATATGTATTTAATCCAGTTTTGAATTGCTAAAGTATAATCATGAAAGAAAGCAATTTTAAAATATATTAAAACAAGTTGACACTAAATGAATATTTTAAAACTTTATATATGAAGTCCTTTATGCATGAAAATTAATATTATGAATGTAAATAGCAGTAGAATGTGTTCATTTGTGAGTTTTACATATTGAATAAAAATTTGTTGCTTAGGTAGAACCATATAATGTCCCATAGCATTATGATATATGATATTTCTAAACAAAATGATTCAATTATAACATAAATTTATTCTAATTTACTATTTAGAAGGAAATATTTAAATTTATTTAAAAGTTATCATTCATACATTATATTTTCTAAGTTGTCTTCAAAATAAATAATCTAGTTTGTTTGACAGTCAAGATTAGTAACTGGAAAGTAATAAATAAAATTCATATGTTTTATATGCAAAATGAAAAAAATACATGTGAAATGAGCTTATTAACACTTTTCCAATCATTATAAGTCCAATGATAATCTACAGTTTTATTTCTAGAGAACTGATATTTTAGCTATGAAATTACTCAATATATTATATAACTAACTAAAAAATGAAACAAACTATCTGAAAATATTTGTAGAGATACATACCTGTACATGTGAAGAATTTAGACTCACCCACACTAAGCTCTACTTTGCTAAGTGAAATTGTCACTTGAAGAAGAGCTGAAAGAAAATATTTGAGTAAAATTAATTTTGCTTTTAAGCATGAATGCTAAAATATTAACACATCGTGTCTATATCACATGATCTAAACAGCAATTATTTATCCTCTTATGCTTTTATTACCTATAAAGAGAAATGAAAGTTTTACAAAATACAATCTAACAAATTATATCTATTATATCATTATGCACCTTACAACCAGGGTGTATTCAAAAAGACGTATTCAAGCTCTGTTGAAATTTTGAGAAAATTCACACTCAGACAACTGTTCCATATTCACAGGCTAGGCCTTATGCGTGATACCAGATTGGTCAACAGCTACAGAAAATTTTTGCTCAAAATTTGGAAACTTGCTTAAAAAGAGTACACCCTACACTACTATTACAATAATTAAAACTTTAAGTTAAGTACTTTTTGACTAACTACTAAAATATTTCCATGAAAGAAGACAAACATGCGGAAGAGAGGGGGGTGCTCCATAAAGAGAGGGGAATAAATTTTTCCTTTTTTATTTTTCACAAAATAAATAAGTTAACTGAAATAACCAGAGCAATGGCAATAAAATAGAGAAGATATTCAAAAAGTTTATTGCCAGATTTGGAATAAAACAGCTGAATCTTCTAACATCAGAAGATAATTAAAATTATGCTTTAACATAAATTAAAAGATTTATATTTCTAATAATATGGTACACAAGACAGTGTGACCATGCCCTAAGACACTGTTCCACCATCCTTTGCTCCCAGAAATGCATAGCTAACCTTTTCAGAAAAAAAAAAAAAAACTGACTCCAAAAAGACCCTGATGCTGGGAAAGATTGAAGGCAGGAGGAGAAGGGGGTGACAGAGGATGAGATGGTTGGATAGCATCACTGACTGGATGGACATGAGTTTGAACAAGTTCCAGCAGTTGGTGATGGACAGGGAAGCCTAGTGTGCCGCAATCCATGGGGTCCCAAAGAGTCAGACACGACTGAGCGACTGAACTGAACTGAACTGAACCTTTTCAGGAAAGTAATGGTGCTTCAAGGGAAAAAAAAATGAAGAAAAATCTGAAAATGAGAGTACAAGCCTACATTGGGAATTTGTGGATCACAGTAACTGAAAGGCTCAAAGATTGCAGAGGATGGATTCAAGCTTGCCAAGAAGAGGGGATGCTAAAGAACATCACCAAACACTGGACCAGAATAAGATTCACCCTTAGTGTTAAGAAGGGTATAGAATAAACTAGCCCACTGGCAAAAGGGAATGACAAGGATAGTTGGCTCTTCTGGCCTGTATAAAGGAAAAATGTTTCTCCTTAAAGAGGTTAACCATGGTTCTAGCATATCCTAGATTTGGAATTTTGAAACTGTAAATATATGTTCTTTGGGAAACCCCAAGCTGAAAATTAACTTATAAAGCTGTTTCACATGTAGGGCTCACAGCTACGTGACAGAAGCAAACACAAAATCCCTTCATAATCGGTCCCAACTCCACAAGATTTTCATAAATGGACCTCTATTCAACCTTAATTCAAACTATGACATTAAAAAATACATGGTGAAATAAGGTACTGTGAGCACGAATTAGTTGAAATAACCTAGAAGAGAAATATACCCATGAAATTTCAAAAAATAAATTAGACTAAGGATGTAACTAACATACCTATGTTGACAATGTTTAAAGAAATAAAATGTGAAATAAAAAATATGAGAAAAGAAGAAAATATTTATCAACCAAAACTTGCCATACATGTTATTTAAACTCTTTAAAATAATTCCTTGTATGTCCCATACTTGATTGATGAATCCTTTTTCTGGAAACCTCCCTGAGAAATAGGATGGGCTATATAGCTCTCTTCTCTCCTGTCAGTCTTGGTCCTTTTTTATTAATAATTTCATCAATACTCAGAGAGTACTTATATGATAGGGGCTCAAAAAGTGTTCTAGTAAGTCTAATATTTCAGAGAGAAATATGTTAAGAACAACAAAGAATTAGAATAGGAAGAAAATTAGAATAACCAAGGAAGTGTGTTAGTCATTCAGTCAAGTCTGACTCTTTGTGACCCCGTGAACTGTAGCTGGCCAGGTTCCTCTGTCCATGGGATTTCCCAGGCAAGAATACTAGAGTGCCATTTCCTTCTTTCAGACCCACTATTCGAACACAGGTCTCCCACACTGCAGGTGGATACTCTACCGTCTGAGCCACCAGGTAAGCCCCGAATGAAGAAACAAGAGAGTATCTATTATAAACATTGCCAATTCTAGTGAGAATTGACAGAAGAGGACTTTTTCTCTGGAGAAGTAACTAATCCCCAATGGGGACAATAGAATCAAACTGTAGACAAAGTCAAGGAATTTGAGATCAGCCTCTTAAGAAATTATATCTGTAGAGATGTGTAGAGTTTGAGGGGATCCACAATTCTGGACATGGGATTTTACAAACTGGGAAAGGTTTACTCATACTTATGGACAGAGGGACAGAGGTAGAAAAGAGGTGATATGGTTGGAAGAAAGAAGGGAATTGTGATTTTTCTCATTCTCTATTCACTAGTTATACTTTCTCCTTTAAGATATCATCTTATTTCATGACATCAATTGCCTTTTCTCTTTGGTTCTCCAGTCTATGCTTGTCCATAGTTGAATCCTACAATTTCTAATTCTCAACTCCCATTCAGTTGAATAGCATATTTTAATTTCAAATTTTCCATGTTCAAAATGAACACCTAACCCTTGCATCAAAAATTGCTATTTTTGGTCATCACCAATCAATTGTAAAGTCCTGGATATATAACTTCTGAAATATTACTTGTATGCATTCTTGTTTATTTCCAACACTGTCTCCCTAATACATGCACTCACTTATTTGTAACCTGAGATATTTCTTCTAAGCTGAGAGAGTGATGTATCAAATTCTGTATTTCTTTTTCTGACTTCTATATTATCAATGTTTCTTCCCATGAGAAAATTTCTCAGGTTGCTGCAAGCATACATTTCAAAAACTGTTTAATTTCACATGCCTACTCAAAAATCTCCAAAGTGCATTTGTTTTATTCAGTTAATTAGTAATCATGTACATTTTAATGGAAAGAAAACTAACTTTTCCAAGTTTATTTCCAATTGTTCCTTAATACTTTTTTTTACTTTTTATTTTTTCCCTTAATAGTTTTGCAGCTGTAGACAACTACAGTTAATCATCCTCCACTTCCCCACTGACTCACACTTACTCACCAATGTGCTTTTATGCAAACTATTTCCTTTGCCATCTCCCTTTCTCTAATCTCCACATGGCTGGCTACATTCTATCTTCAAAATAAAACTAAAATATCAATAACTTTTCAAAATATTCTTGGATAGTTCCATTTATAATATCAACAAATAAATGTCTTTGATCCAGAGGCATGTTCACTAAACAAGTGAAATGTATATTGTTGATAATGATATTCACTTCTCTAGTATGTGTGTTAATTGCTCAGTTGTGTCTGACTCTTTGTGACCTCAAGGATTGTAGCCAGCCAGGCTCCTCTGTCCATGGAAGAATACTGGATTAGGTTGCCATTTCCTCCTCCAGGGGATCTTCCCAACCCAGGGATCAAACCCCCATCTCCTCTGTCTCTTGCATTGCAGGCAGATTCTTTACCCACTGAGCCATCAAGGAACCCTTCTCTACTATATTTAAATTCAAATTTCTAGAAGGGAAAGCTCATCACCCTCACTTCTATTTCTCCTAAACTGATAATATATATAAACGCATGGCAGAATAATGAAAAAACACTTTACCAAGTTTATCATACACTGGGTACAAAACACTGACAGTACTGGCAATATAAAATTTTGGAATCACTTCACTGACTTAAATTGAGTTTAAAGATAGAACTTTTGAGAAATGTCTGCCAATTATTACTTAAGCAATTCCCAGTTTGACCTTTGGAGTTTACAGAAAAGACAAAACTTGAAAGATGCAGCCATTTTAAAAGCCAAACACATGCAGGCATTCTAAAAGTTCTGAACAATTTTACACAGATTTGCTAATGGGTATAATAAATAACATATTCATTGCAATAAAATGAAATTAATCTTGAAATTGATTACTTAATCTATATTAAAACACTTGGTTAATTTTCACTCCATACAAACTATCACTTCATCCGTTACTCAAGACCATATTTTTATGGACATTTTGGTAACTGGGCACATAGGCTATAAATCAGGGAGTAAAAGTATATAATAAAAAGACAACACATAATTCTCTAGTTTAATACATATCTAATACATCTCTAGTATAATACATTTTCCAAAGGCTAGATTTACTCTAATTGACCCCCACAGATACATTAAAACATGTGCAGATTAGGAATAAACTTGAAGAACTAAAATTTAAGGTCATGCCTTAATCATTGCTCTAGAGATTTAATATCATTTTTGGTGACCATTCTTGACCGATGGTCACCTCCCTCAGAGGAAGACACATACGGTACAAAATGACCTCTCCCAGAGTCTTTGCACCTAAATGCCAGAAGAAAACGAAATAATCTTCTAACGACAATGTTGTGTTCAGAGAAAATTGGGCAGGATTGATATATTTATATCTAACCAGTTACCTTTGCCTTCATTTCTGATATTTCAATTTAGGCACTAAAAATAAATAAATAAATAGTGAGAGTGGACAGTGAAATGGGGCCTTTATGTCATTCAAAAAAATATATATATATATATAAAATATTTAAAATTTAAATATCTGTTTAGGGTTGGGTGGAATTTGAGTAATAAAATGGCATTCACTGATGCTGAAAAGTCCACTCTTGATATTTTACTCTTATTATGTATTGGGAATAGATGTAATACCTTTGAAGAAACTGAGAAAGATATAATGTCACATAGATTGATTCACATAAGCAACATTATTGATTAAATGATAGAATTACTTAAAAACCAATCAATCAATAATAATTTTGTATTAAAATTGGTATTGGATAGTCAAAATGCCAGTATCTTCACATGAGTCTCATTTATTTATTTT